TATCGTCTTTTTCCGATATAATCTCACTTACACTTGACTTATAAGTTCCAGTTTCTTTTATTAGTCCGTAAAGCTGTCTTGTGTTCCCTGTAGTCGCCGCCAGGACACGTGTAACGTATGCTCAACCACCGACTGCCCCGACGTTGGATGTTTTATGATGTAGGAGTAGGTTGGAAGAATACTAGGGACGGCCAGACCAAAACATGACACAAATCCGTGAAATCACTGACAAGTGGACTGAGCCATGTTGGTAGGTGTGGACTACCTGTTTGGGATCCGTGAGACGATAGCAACCAATGGTTAGAGACCTTGAATGACACATGGCTCAAAATCATTTGCAATGACACAGGTGCATCCACTTTTTGTATTCTCCCGAATTCTAATCTTCTGAATTTCTCATGTCCTTTTTTTCCTTTCCAAATTTACTTCACTATATAATACTCCTTGGATAACAACTTCAAACCCTAATGTTTACAATTATTGCTTATACTTTTACTACCTCTATTACTATGAGATTTGAATGGACAATTGTATCTGTGTACTAATGTGGTATGGCAAGTTGAACTGATGTACGTACGTACGTAAGTTCGAAGTTTTACGTTGTTGCTGACTGACTGAAGGCATTACAATGTAGGTGTGTTAGCTTGTCGTTGTACATTGAGTCTGTAGATCAGTTCATATGAGACAATAAAATAAACCACTGACTGTTGACTGTTACACACAAACTATGACTCATAAATATAGTCAAAATCAGTGTTTTTATATCATACAAATTACCCCTTCTATATCATAAGTTTAAATGTTGACTTTATGTACATTGAGTTAGCACTATTTATACAATAAAATTTAGCAACACGGATTATATCTGTCTACTCGACTCATTCCATTAATCAGTTATTACTTAATTATTCAGATTACGAACCAACTTAAGCTAGAGTATCATTGAAAACCAGGGATACTGGAAAGCTGTTTTGTTTTATTATGAAGCTCATCAACAGTGTATATCTATGATTGCACTGGGTACTGAACCTTTCAACATTCAGATCTTGCAGTAAGCACTTAAATTCCCGACATTTGAGTCAGCATCGAATGGATTTGATCTCCAAATACAATTATTTTGTGATATTTTACAACTAACTTCCATTGTTTTTAGCGATCTATCTCTTCATAGTCGACAAGAATGAACTGTACAGGTCACGACATCTCACTAAAACTCCAGAAATCACCCATTGACATTAGTCACTAATGAGTAAATGATAATCACTACTAGGATGGTGGACAGAACACCTGTACAGTGCTCCCAGGTTTTCATTGATTGCCTAACTTAGGTTGGTTCATGATGTCAATAATTTTCAATAATCTTTATGAATCCCTATCTTGATTTCACAAATATTTTTCGTCACTTATCCTTTGGACCACGATCAGCTTTTTTTTTTTAAAAAGACTTTAAATCCGTATTACACAATATTAGCAGACTGATATACATTGGTGATTAATCATGCCGGATACTTTCATATTCTAATCACATTCCTTCCTCAGAGAACAAGATCATTTTTTCTTCTGTTTTTATATGTCACCTTAAATACAAAAGACTAACAATCATGAAGAAGACAGTGTTTTTTTGTTGTTGTTCATGATCATTTATTCTACTATTGTGTATAAAATAAATTATTATCATTGTCTTTTATGTACGAGACAATCTCTATACTAAATGATTGATTACTATATAACCATAACTATTTCTAAACTAAGCATATGAATAAATTCACTTAGTATGTTTGCTTATATCTTCCCATTGTTGTTTAGAACTGCAGTTGATCAATCTCTTGTTAACATATATGCATCTCGTGCGGATTGCTTCGATATTATCTTCAATCACAAGCTATATAAGTAAAGATGGATAGTGAACTCGTCAGCTGGATGTACCTGCATCTCAGTGTTGATGTTCACTCTGGAACTCGAACCCAGTATCGTTTGCTTCAAACGTCATCGTGTTATCTATTTCGAGTCCCAAAGTGACACATTTACTTTAGGATGCAGGTACATACAACTGATGAGTCCCAAATAGGACGAAACGCGCCTTGTCCTGGATTCCACTGCTAACCACCACTCATCTTTGCTTAGTAAGCATATGAATTCTCAATTAGATACTACATATTTTCATATTAGTTTTTGTCGAATCAACTTAGTTAGACTTACTGTTGTTTATATTTTTAAGAACTGTCAACCGATCTATCAATCTACTGTATTAAAATATTCATTTTTGTAGTTAGTTATCAATCAGTTATGATGTTTGATCTAACATTATTAATATTAGAAACTATTAATTTGATATTGGCACATATTTATTCAATTAATTATGAGTTTATGATATTTATGTTTAGTCTAGCTATGTAAGTTTTACATATAGATTTAGGGATACTGCCCCTAACTCAGGGTCTGAAAAGTCGGAAAAATGAAAATTTCACAAATGCGATAAAAATGATCTTGGTGGTCTAGTTATAGTATTCCGACAACAGACAGTGGGTTTTAAGTATTATTTAAGCCCCAACGCTTCAGGCTGGGCTATTTCGCTTACTACCCTACATATGTGTTGTATGCAGTATAAGCTATATGGCAATGTAAGACTGAAGGTCTCATATGAGTCTGGAGGTTAGCCATTGGTATTGTGGATGGTTCGGCAACTTTTGCTAACTGTTCATGCACAAAATTGGTTTGATGGTTAACCGACTTCATACTGTTGGTTGCTTTTCAGTGTTCCAGAGGGTCATTGTCATTGGGACATTGTAAGGCGTATCATCATTGCTAACACTAATGACTTTGACTGTCGTGTTAGCGGAATAGGTCAACTTTGACCTATTCGTGTTGTGCATAATTGATTCACGCGATTATTAATCGGGATAATTATTATACATGTGTTGTGAATGTGTATATGAATGGTGCGAATGGTCCACCAGGGTGCTTGGTACCTGTGTGGTTGCTCCACAGGATTGAGCTGTACTATTCAGATTGTAGCGTTAAAGCCTATACGGTATCTGGTTCCCCTGTGAATTGGGATTGAGCTGTACTGTTTAGGTTTTTACGTGAAAGTCCGGATGGTGTATAGTTCTCCTGAAAACCAATGTAAAATTACCCTGGGCCACAGGGGTATATTATATAACTGTGAACAAACTGTGTGAAACCTATATTACTAAAATTCATGATCTAGGGGAAGTTTACGAGTAGATTAATCTGCTAATTCTATGCCATGTCATCCAAGGTCTTTAACCATGGTTATTCGCTGCTCACCTATGTCTTCGAATTTTATATATTGTAGTTTCAAGTTGTATCGTAACTGTTTTTCTTTGCTTTTGTTGCTTACTTATATTTAAATCACTGTAACATCCAACACAATATATTATACTGTTATGTTACTAAATCTAATGTGATTACGTTGTAAGTTGATCGATAGGATTTGATTATCACTATAGATATTGGCTTATATCACAATACATACTTCTCAATAATTGATTAATATTGAAGGTCTAATATGACTGTACCATGCAAGTTCACATTCCATGGAGATAGTTTGATTCTTTTTATCCCATTTTGAAGATATTTATTACTGAACAATAATATCTATCAACAAACTTCAGTTCACGATTTTTCAAAACACATTGCATCAAACTTACTTTACTTACCTACTTACGACTGTTACTCCCAAAAGAGCATAGGCTACTTACCAACATTATTTAACCCACTCTGTCCTGGGCCTTTCTTCTTAGTCCTATCTAATTGTTATTCATTCGTCTCATGTCTGTATCCGTTTCTCGGCGTAATGTGTGGTTTGGTCTTCTTCTTTTCCTTTGGCCTTAAGGATTCCATGTGAGGGCTTGTCTTGTGATGCAGTTAGGTGCTTTCCTCAATGTGTGTCCTATCCGCTTCCAGCGCTTCTTCTACTGGGATCTGGTTAGTTCTCTTCCACAGTAGGTTGTTACATATAGTGTCTGATCAACGGATTCGAAGAATTTTGCACAGACAACTGTTAATAAACACTTATATCTTCTGTATGATGACATTCGTAGTTCTCCAAGTTTCCACCTCATACAGTAGAGCTGTCTTGACGTTTGTATTGACAATTCTGACTTTGGTTTTGGTTGACAGTTGTTTTGAGTTCCAAATGTTCTTCAGTTGTAGATATGCTGCTCTTGTTTTGCTGACCCGCTCCTACCCATCTGTATCAGATCCACCCTGTTCATCAATGATGCTTCCCAGTTATGTAAAGGTTTTTACATCCTTCAAAGTTTCTCCATCAAGTGTGATTTGATTGGTGCGTGTTGTGTTGTATCAGGGAATCTTGCATTTCCCTTTGTGTATCCTGAGGCCTAACATTGCATCAAACATTTAAATTTAAAATATAGATAATATTTCTATCAGTCGTGTTAACGATTAGTGTCTGTAGGTGGTATCACTATGAAGTTGGGATTTTAAAAGTCTACTCCTACGACCTATACAAGGATTTAATTTTATATCAGAGTCTTGTGATGAGCACTTAAACCGTTAGTACTCCTGACGGTCTTGGTAGACCCTTTATAAGACTAAATTGCTTTCCATTGGACCTCAGTTTTCAATGACGCGCCAGCAAATAGATTTTTATAGAAATCTGAAAATTAAATATGATCTAAATATTTTAATGTGCTAACTTTCTGTCTAAACTCAGTTCCAAAACTAATTTTTTTAAATAGCGCTCGACAAGACATTTTCGAAGTTAAATTTTTTGCTCACCGGTTCTCATTAGTAAAAGATCCTTATGTAGTCTTTACGAAACGCATTTCGAATTTTGGTATACATTCATCTTCTCTTCGATTGTATTCGAACATTTCATAGTCTAAAGCCTTCGATTTAATCAGTTACACTAGTATTGGGTAGTATATATCCAATAGTGAATATTTGTTTTCAGTAATGCTAAGTAAGTAGAATGTATTAATTACTGTTTTGTCTGTATCGCTTCTCTTTTTTAGCCGCATGTTGTAGAAGCACATTCAGTTCATGTGGCACATCATAATGTAAGTCCTGAGAATGGTGATCATCTTTGTCGGATGATTGGTACTGTGACTCAAAGTGTTGCCGTCAGTAAAACAATAACAACAATAGCTGCTACTACTACTAAAGTCAATGGTACAAATGCTCAGTCTAACGATTCATCTGTTGCCGAATTTAATAAGTCTGTCAATTTAACAAATGCATCAAATCATGATAACATTCCTAAATCAATTAGTATTGATGATTACACGAAAGCAGAGAAACATCGAAATGATCAACAATATAATCGTCAACATTTATCAATCAGTGATCATATAAATTATGATAATAACGGAGAAGAGGATGATTTAAATGATATTGTACATTATACACCAGAACGTATATCACCAATGTCATTTGATCGTGGTACAGTGACTACAATTGAATCACATTTATCTAGTATAATGGCTCAAGATGAAATTGATGATTGTCGAGATAATACCAATCTTAACAAAGAACTTGACTATTCTACATCGAAAAAGATTATTGCTGATTCAGAAAAGATTTCCGAATCTCCACCATATGCTTGTCTCGATGTGCATAATGATAATCCAGATGAATGGGATTTAGGTGTGGCTGATCGTGATTTATTAGCCGCTGATGGTTTACTCTATTTAGATCGTAGTCATCCGGTAAGATTAATTCTATTTATATTTGAATATATATTCTCAAATAAAAAACCCCATCTATTCTTAATTTCTGTAGTACGAAAGGTATGTATATGATTGTCTTTCTAATCCATACAAGGATATGTTGAACTTAACCTTGATTAGCTTCTTGACTGACTTCTTCCGACAACGTATCCCTTTCATAATTTCTCACCTACTATTCGAACTTAAAATGGATATGAAAATAGACATGATACATGTTTATACTTGTCCATTCATTTTATCGATCATTGAATTCATTTAGAATTCAGGTAGAAAATCCAACAGCAATATCCTTGAATGTATCTTGTATTATGCCATCTGTTGTCAATATTTCCATTATCAAAGTAATACACAGCGACTATAATGATCTGTGAATATGATATCGACTAAAATGCTCCAATTTATCGATTTTTTTTTACTTCTTGCAAAGTTTATCTTTTTGTTTTTCATGATAGCATAAGTAGATGTGCTACTATTCTTTAGTTTTATTCTACTTGAAAACATCATGACAACTTTATGGATTTTAAATATCTGTGAAAATCTGAAGTTATAATTTCTTAATTTATGTACCCTCATCTGCTGGGTTCACCGCGTAAATAATCGTGAGGTTAGACGTAGGGTATTAGGGAATGATGGTGAATCAGTTGATGAGGTTGTGTACCTTCATCGCATGAGATGGTTGGGCCACGTGTTACGTATGCCTGAACACCGATTACCACGACTCTCAATGTTGACTAGTGTTGGACTGGCTCCAGTATCCTGAAGGAACAAATGGTGTGTGAACCAATCGTTGGTCACCGGTTACCATGTGACTGCATCTCCTTACGATGCTCCACTGCCTTACGGATCAGACCTTTAGGTCGAAGGCTCTGTGTGTGGCCCTCTAAGAAAACCACCTGCTTCGGTTTGGACACCCGAGCAGTATCACAACCCTCACACATATCGAATGAGATGTGCGTGGTGCATATGTATTCTGTGCCTCCTTGTATCAATATCTATGTGTTAAAATTATATATATATATATATATATATATATATATATATATATATATATATATATATATATATATATATATAGTATCTTTTCGTGTCTGTATGATGTTGTGATCTCAACCGATGTACTTATATTCTGGTCTCGATCATGTGTATGACTGACTTTATTTTCTACTGAGGAGTTTCTTGTTAAAACTAAACATTTTTTTAAAGGAAAAGTTGATATTTTTATTACTTATTTCTTTAATCTATTATCATTGTTGTTAATTTTTGTCGTCAGGAGTCACTTAGCGATCGAATTAGTGAATTTGGATTTCGAATTCATGGTTCATCTGAGGGTGAAGAAGATTTAGAAGATGAGGATGATGATCCAGACGATAGTGGAATTCGAGATGAGTAAGTTTTTTTTAAATTTTTCATTTATAATTATTCATTATTCTTATTATTTGTGTGTGTATCTGTTTACCTTCTGTGTGATTGATAAACATCATGAAAGTTGATGCTGGGCTGGGATACTTCCCGGGTGCTCAAATCGAAGGAGGTGGTTTCCTTAGGGGACAACACCCCAAACCTTTAACCTAGAAGTCTAATTCACAAGGCAATGGAGCAACGTTAGGATATGCAATCCCATGGTAGCCGATGACCAACAATTGGTTCATACGCCATTTATTCCTTCAGGATCCGAAGCCTATGTGCACGATTGGTTTGGAATGATGGATTCTCTGTTTCCACCAAACCGGTTAAAGAGTTGGACATTCGCTTTTCTTCCTCTCAATTCCGTAAACAACAGTAATGCTGTGAGAAGGCAGTGAGTAAGATTTCCTGTTAGTGATTGTATGCACGTGACCACTGAGAGTATTTTGAGAGGGAAAGCTGATTCTCACCGCTCTCGGCCGTACTATTTGGGCGCATTATTGAAATAAAGTGTTCTACGTAATATTGATTTGCACTGTTTTCTGAATGATTTATGTTATATGTTCTGTAATTGAAGGTAAGTTCCAAACATCTGTAAAGTCATTGTTAATTTGTAAACTATATCAAAATATTGAACAAATTACTATACTTGGTTATATAACAATATTGATAAGATTGGAAATTTCTAAGTCTATAATTTCTCTTCGAATACCATTTATGAAATCCACTGTACTTTGAATGTCCGATTATTTGTTATGACTGTTAACCATGCATATGACATCAAAGGAAGTATATCATATGTAAATCATTCATTTTATGTATTCGTAATGATTATGAGAGGTTGGAGTCCACATGATGAATGCGTTTATTACTTAGAAACATCGAATGCCATAGTTTAGAATTATTTATAGTACTTTCATTCTTTATCTTAATTTCTATCTGAAATTCTAGTATTTCTTCGTACATTTCTTCAGATCACTCCATCTTTTCCAATTATATATTTCTAATGTTCTCTCTTCATTATCATTGTTAATGTTTTGCTTTGATCACTTTTGCAATTCATCTTTCTAAGTTCATCTCACCATGTATATGTGGTATGGTGACTTGGGTCAATGGTTATCTATGTTAGATTGTACCTTGATAGTGATGACTAACCGCTGGGATCACCGGGTAAGTAGTCGTGAGGTTACACGCATGGTATCAGGTAATGATGGTGAATCAGTTGATGAAGTTGTGTACCTTCATCGACTGAGACGGTTGGGCCACGTGTTACGTATGCCTGAACACCGATTACTACGACGCGCAATGTTGACTAGTGTTGGGTCTGGTTGGACGAAAGTTAGTAGCGGCCAAACCAAAACATGTGGCATCAGTCGTTGAAGTCACTAACTTGTGTTGTGAGCCATGTTGGTATGTCCAGGCTACTTTGTTGGGGTCTGTGTGACTATGGTAACCAATGGCTGGAGACTGTATGTGACATGGTTCAGAATCGATCGGAATTGCGTAGGTGTATATACTCTTGGTTTTCCCTTAAACTATGAGATTAAAATTACTTCATATCTTTCTTTCCTCCTGTACTATATCCTCACATAAAATCTTTCCTTTATATATTACACCATTGAATTAACTGTTTCAACGAATCCGGTGTTCGTTTTGCTGTGTTAATGAGGTATTGCAACTTGGACCGATGCATGTATTTGCCTGGTCCCAAGTTGTAACTGACTGACTGAGGAGTTTTCGGAGTTTTTGTTTCGTTAAAGACAAAACATCAGTTTAATTATTTGTCTATTCTATTTTTATTCATTTTAGAATAATTATACCAAATGATTTATCAAACATAAATATGATGAATTTATGTCAATTATCATCGAATACAAATAATATTGAAGGTATTTCACCAACATTAAGTCGTATGAATGCAAATGATAATTCTATGGATACACAAAAATTATCATTATCAACAATTGATGGAACTAACTTAAATAGTCAAATGACAAATGGTGATCTAAATCTTAATCATATGGATGTATTAAATAAGAATTTAAAAATTAATTCTACTATGACAAATACTACTACTAGTACTACTAATAGTAGTAATCATAATAACAGATTAGTCAGTCAAAAAGAATTGGATTTAAATGATATTGTCAATTCTACTGGTCATGAGTTTTATCCAGAGAAATCCGGAGAGTAAGTGTTTACTTCTTTTTTTTCAACCATAATGTTAATCATACATCTTTATTTATTAACTTATATGTATAGTTCGGAAGGGTGGGTACTGATTACTGATTACTTACGCCTGTTACTCCTCGTGAAGGAGCATAGGCCTCTTACCAGCATTCTCCATCCAACCCTGTCCTGCGCAATCCTTTCCAGCTCCTTCCAGTTGTAATTCATCCTTTTCATATCTGCCTCTATTTCCCGACGTACTGTGTTCTTTGGCCTTCCTCTTTTACGCTTCCCTTCAGGATTCCAAGTTAGGGTTTACCTCGTGATGCAGTTTGATGATTTGCGTAATATGTGTCCTATACATTTCTATCGTCTTTTCCTAATTTCTTCTTCAGCTGGAAGCTAGTTTGTTCTCTCCCACAGAAGGCTGTTGCTGATGGTATCCGGTCAATGGATGTTGAGTATCTTGCGAAGACAGCTATTTATAAATACTTGTACCTTCTTGATGGTGATTGTTGTAGTTCTCCAAGTTTCAGCTCCGAAAGGGTGGCTACCAAGGCAATTTAAGATGTGTACTTTTTATTTTTTTTCGTCATGCTATTATTTCCTCCTTCTTTCAATGATTTTTATCAATCTCTTTAAACAATATATTGTTATCTGTTTGATAGGAACATAAGCGGGGGGGGGTATAACTAAATGTATTTGAACATAAAAGTACATTGTCTCAGAACCATACAGTATATACTCTATTTACAAAATATCCGTCAATTGTCTCAGACTTTGTTTTTCTTTCATTTTCATACCAATCACTCTCTGTCTGATTCTCTTCTCTCCGATCTTCCTAACCTTCTATTTTCAGGCATTCCATTTTCGATGGTTAATACATATTACTTATATTTATTGACCTCAGTAGCACACAACACAATAACAGTAAAAATTTCAGCTAGACTAATTTATGGACGACTTTTGAACGAATCTTAAGTGATCTTGAGAAATTTGAGCCAATCAGAAAACAGTCAGTATAGAGTGAACATATATTAAAGAAAATCAAAAAATTAGAATGGACATACTTCTTTGAAAAACTTCTCAAGATTAGGAAGAAATTCAGCAGTTCTGAAATGATAAGGCATACGATACAGGAAATCATCCATGTGGCTCCATAATAGTCGACCTCTGGAACCATAATTAGGTCTCGAAAATTCTTTCAGTCTCGATTATATTGCTTCAATATTATTTATATGCACTTGAGTGGCTGGTTGCTCAAAATACCGCTTATGGACGACGATACGATGCATATAACTAAGTCTATGTAGGCATCGGTACACTCTCCATCCATCCATATATATTGTAGTACCGGCAGCTCATATTATCGTACAAATGGTATTTTAGTTGTAACCCATTGGACATGTCCTTTTGAGATGACCCATCATATGTTTGAATTTTCGTTCTCAAACAACTGTTTCGTCTATTTCAACGATTCTCACGGCTCCCCCAAATGACTCGTACAAGCTTGTCATTTTTATTACACATATATGTGTTCAATATTCATACGCTTGAACTGCCGAAGCTTCAGTAATATCTGCAAAGGTCGCAGCTAGTGTTAATGGTGCTTTTATTATCCAGATTACATTAGTTATTATAGTTTGTCTTAGTCTCAATCGGAATCGGGGGAAATGTTCCCTTTCCTCCAAAATATATTACATTGAAGTACAACATCATCACGGTAGTCTGCAGAAGGTCCAGTAGTCACTTGATTACCTCAATCACAAATAAAGGGAATTCTGAGTAATCCTATTTTCTGTAGCTGCTCTACTATAACTTCTCTAAAATCAGCTGTAAACCGAACGTACGTGAGCATTGAATACTGAAATAGGCGCTGTGACCTTTAAATCTCTCAAACGCTTCTGATTGGCTCGTTCATACATTATAGTCTCACCCAGTTCACTTTGTTTATTGTAAACTTGCGAAAAAAATCATTTTCTAATGTGGTTCACGGAATCGTAAGGGAGTTGATAAGACAGGAATTTATGATTTCTTGATATCGATATAGATCTATAATGACCTTTATGTGAATTCAACTATAAATCTCCTACGAACTTTTAAATAAAGATTTTACATATGATGATGGCTTCTCAACAACAACAACAACAACAGCAACAACAAAATATTAATAACTACGAGAAGGATTCAGAAAACAATCTTTAGCTCAATTTATATTTGGAGTTAGATAAATAAGATTATATAACGATATTTCGAAGGCGAAATAGATGGAAAAGGCCGCGAGCTTTTCGGACTAATTAAGGAAACTGGAATTAACAAGTCAAGTGTAAGCGAAACGATCTCAGAAAAAGACGATTCTCTTATCTGCTCTCAACCCAGACGTTTGGAACGATGGGTGGAACACTTTAAAGAGCAGTTCAACTGGCCTTCAGCTAGTCTGCAACTACCCACCATTCCCAACCAGTCTGAATAGAACATTGAATTAGGTTCCCCAATTCTAGTTGAACTTCGGAAAGCTATACCTAATCTGAAACGAAGAAAAGCAGCTGATTCAGATGGATTAACTCCAGAGGTCTTTAAGTATGATGGTCCAGTTTTTGCGATTTGATTGACTAGTTTTTTTAAGCTAAAATCTGGGAGTTGAACGTAATCCCATCTGACTGGTCTTAATAACTGATTATCGCAATATATAAAAAGGGGTCAAAGTCATTCTGTGATAACCATGAAGGGATTAGCTTGACTAACATAGCATCTAAAATACTAGCCTCAATAATTATCCGACGCCTAACTAAGACTCGTGAACTGCAAACACGAGGAAATCAGGCTGGCTTCAGACTTGGTCATGGCTGCATTGACCACATATTCATCATTCGTCAGCGTCTAGAACACAGACATGCTCATCAGCGTCCGACAATGGTGGTCTTTGTTGACTTGAAAGAAGCATTTGACTCTGTGCACCGAGAGGTTCTGTGGCAGTGTCTGTAATTGGAAAGTATACCTCAGAAGTACATAAACCTTGTGAAGGCTCTTTACACGAACACTACTAGTCGAGTCAGAGCTTATGGCGAAGTGTTATCTGATTTTGCAACCTCAAATGGTGTCCGACAAGGCTTCCACTATCTCCATTCCTGTTTTATTTTTATCATAGACCTACCGATGGAAATAACACTCTCGTCGACTAAATTTTCGGGCATTGATCTCCTTCCAGGTGTCCGCTTATTAACTTAGAATACGCAGATGACATAGTCCTGTTTGGTGAAGACGCTGATAAAATGGAGAGTCTATTGGTAGCACTGAGCGACAATGCCAGGATGTTTGGGATGCGTTTCTGCTTCCCGAAATGCAAGTTGTTGTTTCATGACTGGCCTTTGTCGACACCTGAACTAAGGATAGGGAGTGAAGTATTGGAATGCGTCAACAACTTCACTTATCTTGGAAGTCTGATCAGTCCTAATGGGTTGGTGTCTGACGAAATCTCAGCACGGATTCGAAAAGCTCATTTGGCTTTTGCCAACTTACGTCACCTTTGGCGAAGGCGAGATATCCGTGTAATAATTAAGGAGTGGGTATACTTCACAGCAGTTCGTTCTGTTTTATTTTACGGTTGCGAAATGTACCCATTAAAAGTAGAAGATACTCGTAGGCTTCTAGTATTTGACCATAAATGCCTTAGAAATATTGCTGGCGTCTGTTGGGATCACCGGGTAAGTAATAGTGAGGTTAGACGCAGGGTATTAGGGAATGATGGTGAATCAGTTGATGAGGTTGTGTACCTTCATCGCATGAGATGGTTGGGCCACGTATTACGTATGCCTGAACACCGATTACCACGACGCACAATGCTAACCGGTGTTGGGTCTGGTTGGAAGAAAGTTAGTAGCGGCCAAAACAAAACGTGGCATCGGTACTTGAAGTCACTAACTTGTGTTGTGAGCCATGTTAGTAGATGCAGACTACTTTGTTGGGGTCCGCGTGACTTTCGTAACCGATGGTTGGAGACTCTTGGCGACATGGCTGAGAATCGATCACAATGGCGTAGGTGTATACACTCCTTGTCTTCCCTTAAACTAAGAGATTAAAATCAATTCATATCTTTCTTTCTACGAACTAATTCTTTCTTCCTGTACTGTATCCTTATATTCAATATTTCTCTTATATATTACCACCTTTGAACTAACCACTCGTATGAATCCGGTGTTCATCTTGCTGTGCTAATGAGTGAAGTGTGGCAACTCGGACCGATGCATATATGTGTTGGTCCTACGTTGTAGCTGACTGACTGATGTTGTATAAACCAATTGTTTATATTTTTTTGGTTTTGTTTGTTTAAACACGTAAACATTGGTACATAGAGGCATCAGACATATGTATGTGACATAATTCGTCATTCGCTTTGTGTGGGGTTGGGTTACTACCCGGTTAATCAAACTGAAGCAGTTGGTTTTCTTAGGAGGTCATTCACTTTCCAATCTTTTAATCTAAAGGTCTAATCTACAAGACAGACATACAGTCCCATGGTAACCGGTGATAAACAATAAGTTCATATGTCATTTATTGTCTTAAGATGTTTGAGTTCATGTGCACTTTTGGTTTGAAATAAAGGTTTTCAAACTCTACTAGGTGGATTCTTCATATCCACTAACCGGGTTGAAGCTCCGAATATTTACTTTTCGTGCTCTCAACTTTGTAAACAACACTCGCACTAATAGAATGCAATGACTAGGACTTCCCTGACAGTGGTTATATACACGTGATCATGTCAGAGCATTTGTATAGAGAGAGTGCTCCCCATCTTCGACCGTACCAAGGCAACAAAGTTTATACGTGATGTCGTTTGATGTATGCTTAAACAATTTTTTCTTCTCATCAGTATTAACTACTGAAATGTGGATCTGTAAAAAAAAAAACTAACATTCCACTTTTACAGGATAATCATAATAAATGCGTTATTAAAGCTTCATTGATGCTGAAAAAACGTGTGTTCTTTATCGATATAAAAAGAGATTTGTTATAAACTGGTT